CGTGATGAAAATGCTGGCAGATGTCGGCTTGACGAGCCCCACACTCTCCCCTTACAGCAGATGGCAAATAAACCAACAACAATATTTGTCGACGGGCAATTGATTGAAGAGGCCAATCGGTAGTAGGATGACTCGACAAAGGGTAATTCATCAAAAATTCCAACTCGTTGACAATTGTCTGTGAGGCCATTCAGTTTCCACATTGCACTCATCTTTTGTATTAGAACACATGCACATGTTAGACATTTTAATATAAGCAAGTTTCGGGCACCGGATATTTTTTTTGAAAAGCTGTTTCACCGAATTTCGCATCTCCCGGTTCGTCGAATTTTGATATGAAATCATAATATAATTATTATACTTGTCACTTCTTCAATTAGAAATGGTTACAAATAATTATAAAATAAAAGTAGGCTTTCGCAAAAATTATGCCGATTATAGGCTATGCCAACGTAGCCGAACAGTAAAAAAAAATGTTATGAGGGTGTTTTTGTTAGGGTTCAGGAAAGACAAAGGCGATTCTTCAAATGAGCACTGGTCACACAGGCCGACTGGTAACATAATTAAAATAAAAGCACCGACTTCACAGAACAGGAAAAAACAATTTCACTAGACGTTTCGCCTCCATGAATAAACGCCTCCATGAATCATGAATAACCAACTCGCCCAAGCTGAAGTTCTGACCAGTTTCGCCTCCCTTGCGGGAGGCATCTTCAGTAGTTACACAACAATGCCTGTGTAAGCTTCGTGGAGAGGGCCGCGTTTTTTGTTACACACGAATGTGTGTGTCCCTGCGAACTAACCACGATTCTAGGATTTTCGGGACCCCCATCTGTCCTCCCTCGCCAAGGTCGTCGCGGCCGGGAAGTCAAAATAATGCCCTATTGTCCACACATAGTACACCAGTTCAGACTTCAGTCGGGTCGCGTGGGATGCGCACGTGACGTCACGCTTGTGTTTACAAAGCAAATGAAAAGTTCAACCTCAAGTCAACGCTATTTATCAAATATGTCCGTACTTCGTGGAGAGGGCCGCGGTTTTTCTTATACACGGATGTGTCTCTGAGAACAGACACGATTTTAGGAGATTTTCGGGACCCCCATCTTTGTCATAGGGTGACTCGTTTATCGGACTGTTCGTCGCAGCGAGAGTACAGGGAAGGATAATAATTCATACCCTATATCGTGCAGAAGAGAAGAATATTAAAAAAAAAAAAAGGAAACGAAGCGAAAATTTTGATTTCTTTTCTTGTGGACAGGGCATTGTAGGTGAACGTGGCTTCCTTGTTTGATTCGCCAAAGTAGCAACAAAGTGGCATTTTACGATCGAGCGAGCACCGTCGGAAACACTGCCCAAAATAATTTTATAGGGAGTTTCACGGCTTTCCACTGCGACATAAGCACGTGGATAGAAAAACAAATATTGACAACAATAAATGTCGAATATTTTTGGCACGCTCACACCTGGTTTTTCTTCATAATTTGATGACTCATATGTTGAGTTTGTTTGCGGAACCGTACTTCTGACCGGCAATTGTATTGCGTACGCGAAGCTTTTGCGTGCGATCCACTACAGTTAATTATTTTTGGGGTGTCCAAGTTGAAGCGGTGCGTGTTATTTTTCGATCTCTGTCCGAATGATACAAAGTTTCACGTCTTCACCCTGTGAGTGAAGTGAGTTGGTCAGTGCTAGCATCGAAGGCTAACTTCGAATTCTAATTTGGAAATAATGCCTCTGTTGCCGCATCGCGGACAAAGATATATATGCTCTTATCACTGTAGCAAAATAATACGGCAGGATTTGTGCTCTTGTTATGATCGTGTACCATTGTAGTCGACGTCATCCCAGCACGGCGTATCGTTTTTGTATTCGGTTCAGCCCTGCAAACCACACTTAGGAAAAAAATGAAAGTTTGCACCTTGTTTGTTCAATTTTTTGTTATACTGCAGAAACACATTGCGCCCCGTGTTTTTGAAGGCACGGTAGACGGTGGTGACGGTGAGGTGACCGACCCCCATGTCAGCCGGCGTCTCGCTCGACCTCCTCGGAGGACATGTCGTTTTTACTGGTGACTGGTGCATACGTGGAGCAACTCCGCGCGCATTGCGTTCTTCATCTCAGAGAAGGCAATACATGACTCAGCTCTATCTCGTCATCGCTCCAAAATGACAAGTGGAATTCGCAACTGTAGTCGGTGACAGGTCAAGAACGAAGTGGGAGCTCCTCCCACCCTGTTCCACTTCAGCGGAGCGAACGGGGGAGAGGAGGTCGCCCTCTCTCCAGCGTTCGCAAATGGCAAATTTTAGTTTATTAGGCCACTAACTGTCAATTTACGCTCGTTCCTTTACGTCCGCCGCAGCCGATAATGTTATCCCCGGGAATACCAAAAGTATAATTTCTTTCAGCCAAAAAAACAAAACAAAACAAAACATAATAATAAAACGCCCGGTATATCACAGCTTTGACAACGCTTCACGTATGTGAGGTTCGATGACCGACAGAGAACCACCGCTGGCCGTGCTCCCGAAGCGGGGAAGTGCAATTTATGGAGACCGATCATATTATCAGAAAGGTGCAGACTAGGGAGCCTTCATGTGCGCGAAGCGCACATGGAGGCACTCTAATGCAGACAATCCAGGAAAAGTATTCTTGCAACTATGAGGTTCCAGTTGTACTTACACATGCATTACCGTCAAATTTGACGGAGTTCCTTCCAACACTAAAGAGTTGTCAAGAGTGAAGATTATAAAGGAGAATATCAGCAGGAATCTATTGTCTTTTTACTGAGAACAAAACAAGCATCAGAAAAACGCATTTGGGCGGCCGGGGCGGCCAGAAGCACGGACTGCGCGCGCCCGAATGGGAGGACACTCCTAGCAATTTGTTTTCAAAGCCACGGTATGCCGGCTGCCGGCCAAATAGTCACTTTAATTCTATTATGGCTTTCGAAACGTAAATACACGCTCGAGAATTTTCAACAATATCACGCGAGCGCCGACCGGCCTGTAGATCAGCGCATCGTCACGGCGCGAAGTAGCGATATCAATGACAGTACGCGCGTGCGCAGAAGAAACGCGCCGAAGTCGGCGTCGGCTGCTAAGCTGTTTCCCCAATCACGACCCAACCCTGGCGCGACGCCCACCGCTTGCTCCACCCCATAAGCAGGGGACCTAGTAATCAAAGCGACACACACGGTACGCAAAAACGAACAGCAGCCAGTAGGAAGGACACCGACACGAGCTTAGTCAGCGAACGAAAAGACAGACACAAACTTCACTCTGGGCAAACAGAGCAGGGGTAGTTACAAGGTTGAGAGGCGTGCGCAGACGGAGGTAAGCAGTGCACAATAAATACGCGAAAACTCGCAGCAACCGAAGAACCACGCAGCAAACACGTACGCGCACACGCACCAGAAGCACGTGCGTCACGCTGCGTATCTACGCGGAACTGGCGATTTTGGCATTTCGGTAATTTGAAACTTCGATATCGATTGCGTGAACAATTTATTCAGCAAACTGAACCGGTGGAGCCTCGCATAAAAAAAAAATCGTTTGACAATATGAAAGCGACTGAAATTCTTCCTAAAAGCTATATTAGCAGAAAGTACCGTGTTATAAAGGACCTCACGAGTTTCGACCAAGTTTTCCAGCACGTTATTTTGCAAGAAACGGAAGAAGCCAAGTGTACAACCAGTTTCCGAAGCTGGCAACCACAGCTGGAATCAGCGCCATCCTCGGCAGTTTCCTGAACCTCGCGTAGTCACATTTCAGCCACCGCCACATAGAGGGCGCAACCAGACATCCAATTTGTGTTTTCTGTATGTTTTATGATTTTTTTAAATAAATAGGCTCGATTAGTGAAAATGTGGGCTAATAATCAGGACCTGGAACAGTAATCTCCATTTAATACTAAAAATATCGGCCTAAATGTCTGCCAAAAGGGGTCAAAATACTAGTTTTTGACTATCAACAAATACGTGATTTCACCTATATTCAAACTTTTTTTATGGAAAATCAAAAGTGAAATTTAGAAAAAGGGCCTCGCTTTGCAAAGCAGAATATGTTTTTCTTTGCGGGCCTACAATTTTATTCATGTGTGCCAATCCCTAAGCGCTGTACCACTGTACTACCAAATGAAGTTTGCCAAAATTAACGGTTTTTGTCACTTTTCACGTGAGCATTCCGAAAAAAGTTTAAGCCATATTACAATGAAATTTAGCGTAACTCTTTCGACCATAATTGCAAACTGATGTAAAAAGTTTCAAATAAAATGACCGAGTAGGCGCCCAAAACTTCGCGACTGAAGTGCTTCCGCAAAGTCAATTTTTCTAAAGTAAATATCTGTCAAAATAAAATAAAAAACGAAAAAAGGGCCTCCGTTGACAATGAACGCACTCTTCTTCTATAACATTCTAAAATTTGAAAGAAATTGCTCCAATAGTGCACCCTGTACCACTGTACTACGAAACCATGTTTTGCCGAAAAGGCCAATGCTCGCGGGTGCCCACTGAATTAGCGTTTTGCACTAGGAAAACAAATCCTACATCAGATAAAAGATAATGTTGTACACTACAAGATGATATATAACACATAATTTTAGCAAGCTTGAACACGCCACGATCGCATTTCGAAAACGTGCTGAAAGCGTCATATGTCATGGCCGCCGTGGGACCGCAGCCTTAAGCATGCTTGACAGAAACCGCTTCCCCGCTCTCGTTCGAAGATCGAGCTGTCGGGACACTGATATAATATACATGCAGCCTCCTGTCACAATAAAAATGCCACAACATCGACTCTGCTCAAAACAGCTTCGAAACAGTATCCTCGAAGCGTCGCACTGACAAGCGGGAAACACTAAATATTCAACAATAAAGCAAAAAAACCTATAGTTTGCTTTACTTTAAAAGATCCAGGTCCCAAACCACAAAAAACGCCCTGTCGCGCTCGATGCGCGTGGCTTAGAAAAAACCCGAGGAGAAACGAGAGAGCAAGGGGGCTTACGTCGACGCTGTCCGGGCGTTGGGCCATCCTGCGCTTCTCGGCCAGCGAGGTGAGGGTGTCGTTGAGCGCCTTCTCCATGACCCGCGTCGGCCGGCCGTTGTTTTCGTCGGGCTCCCTGCCCAACTTGGACTGGTCCCGACTCCAGGAGGAGAAGCTCAGGTAGGCGGGCTCAGGGAGGCTGTTCTCTTCCCTCAGGTCTGTGCACACAAAGAAAGAAAGATTCCTTCAAAATGCTGCCCCCATCTAAATTAGACGACCATTAGTACTTTAAATTTGTTTCTTATCTGCACCAAAGTGAACAATTGGGGTATGGGGACAGGAAAAAAAAAAGCTGAGACAATGCAGCTTGACGGGGCGGGGCCACTGCTCCTTACGTTGGGCCACTTAGCAACATAAAGAAACTCAAATATTTTGACGGGAATTAATATGTTACAAACGATAAATTGTGCACTTTCAAAAAGAAAAGATGTAATGACAAACTTGAGATGACCCCGCACCTCCAGGTACAGTCGGCGGCAAAAGATTGTGGGGCGCAGGAGCATCAGCCGAAAGGAATGGTTGCGCCTTCTAACGGCGCGCGGTTGCTCTCAAGATTCACGCTTCAAGAATGTGCTTCCTTTCGTGCTCGCAGTCATGACGTTTGCCCGACGTGCACGAGATAACCGGGACTGGCGCAAGGTGCCGCTATGACAGCCATCATGCCGCGCGTTTGCCTCAGCCACCATGATCGGTGACGATGCTCGCGCATGCTACCGATAACATTTCGTGGCACCTTACACCAGTCCCTATTATCTCGTGGGTGTCGAACGAAAGCAAGCGAAAAAAGCATGACCGCAAACAAGAAAGGAAGTGCATGCGCAAAGCATGAGTCTTGAGAGCGGCAACGGGCCGTGAGAAGGCGCAGCCAGTCTTTTTGGCTGACGCTACCGTGCCCGGCAAACTTTTTCTCCCGACTGTACATAAACAAACAAGTGCATGTGCGTTAATATCTAACTTGGTTCTCCAAAAGGTTTCTCAATAAGTAAACGGCAGCACCACATGGCCACGGAAAAGTAACTCGCTCGATATTCCTTGCTGAAATGTTTGCCACAGTTCTACATCCGACTATTCGGGTTATTTTAACAAAACTCCGCTAGTGGTTTGGTACAACAGATGCCGAAAATGATAAACAATGGCAATGAAGCACACTGAACTACCTCGTCATTGCTCCTCAGCCCAAGTAGGTTTGTACACCCGACCACTCGCACAGTCCTGGGCCGACTGTAGCAGAATTCGCAGTAAAATTGTAGAGGTCAGGTCCTAGACACATGTATATCAAAGAAGGTATGCCAATAAGCTACCCCATTCTGGCCGCCCCGTTCAGACAACATGCCCTGGCCATTCCCCCAACACTAAGGTGTACCGCAAAGGACAACGACCAAGGAGTCAAACTCACTTTTCACGTCCTTGCGCAGCTTGTTCAGTTCGAGCAGAAGCTTTTTCACCTCGCTGTGATTCATCTTCTCGGCGTGAGATGGCTGGAAGCAAATTGTGCAAGTGAGGCTAAACGGCAGAGAGGGCAAACAAACAGAAAATGGGAGTGTTTATTTAACATGCCGGCAAATCCATGCACTTTGCTCGTCGCCCACCTAACTGCGCAGCTATGCACTCCCCAAGCAGTACAAACAATACCAGAAAAAAGGAGCACCTTCAAACAATATTCAAAGTATTGCCAAACATTCTAACATGCTTCATACTCGTTCAGTAGTGGACATTTAGAAAAGGCAGCGTTCAAATGAGGGGAAGTCACATACCCTGTATCCATGTTCCTTCTCAAAGTTCTCTTCAAACTGTTTGACCTTCTTCTTCAAGCCTAAACAAAAGGAGAGTGCGTTCAATATTTTGAAGAAACAGAACGAGTAAGAGCCACGCTGTGGTCGTCGCAACTCACTGTGAATCTTCTTGGACAGCTGCTTGATGGTGGTCAGATTTGCCTCCTCTTCTTTGAAGTTGCTGCATAAAGAAGATGCCAAGTGGCTGTCAACAACTCGTATTAATGAACACGAAGAGCTTCCTGGCTTCCCAAAGGAAGCAAAATGTTCTGGCGGCGGACACGCACCTTTTCAGAAAATCGTCCTGCTCCACGGGAGGAGACGGAGGCAAGCTTGGGTCGAGATGAAGGCTGAAACATTTAAAGAAAAAGAGAGTTAACACAGCTGGTCTCTTGTGGCAGACTACCTGACCTGGTAGGCCACTGTCACTTATCCAAAGAGCACATTGTGCATACATGCATGTATCCTCCAAGATGTTGCTCACGAAACAAATGTCTAAAGGGTGGCAAAGTTTCATGTCTCTTTCTCTCAACAACTGCATGTATGTGTGTGAGTGGACCTATATGCGTATAGTAATAGTAATAGGACCTATTTTTTTTTCGAACAAAAACAATGTTGAAAAGGTGGCAAAAAAGAAAAGTTTGACGAGCCACAAGTCACCTAAACCAGCAGTCGTGATGCAGGCACCAAAAGAAATTATACAGAACTAAAAGACGACATGTGCCATACATGAATGAAAAACAAATTACAAATGAGAACTATAACTCTATACAAGAGAAGTAGCATATTGATGCAATTTGCACAATAGTGAAAGCATATAAGGGAAGTTAGAATTTCAAGGAAATAAACAAGAAAGAAAACATTAACTCAACAGAATTTAGTGCTTATTGCAGGCTATTTGGTTTGAAATAAACATAAAAATAGAGACCCTTGAAAACGCAAGACGCAACAAAATATGATAACACTTACCTCCTGTGAGACAAGTAGCTTCGGTAAGCACTTGGCGATAGAGGTGCCTCGTAGGAACTGAAAGAAACAAGGCAGAACTTTTTACTTCCAGTTCAGAGCAAGCGAACTCAAAAAGATACATGTTCGTGCAATCAACCTTTCGGCAATGTTTTTGATTCGCGGAAAATATATGCTGTTTACGGTAATTCCATGATCAACCAAAACAAATGGTACCTACTTTGCTTTTTGAAGATAAGGTGTGACGACCTCCTCTTCTGTCAAAGCCTGTACCATGGGCCAACTGAACCGATGCTCCGACAAGACAGGTTCTGAAACAAAAGCGGGCGGGTCAGGTAACGCTCATAAAATTTCCAGGAACCATCTATAGAACATTGGTAGTTGATCGTTCAAACGAGGACACGCAGCAAAACAAGAATAATAAACACATCTCTAAGCAACTTCTTTTTAGGCCCAATTCAATCAGTCAAATGTACAAAATCAGGGGTGTCAAACACGCGGCCCACAGGCAACCACTGCGAGCCCCCGTTCCAATGTATCGAGAGCTAGAAATGACAAACACCATAATCATGACGAAAATAAACCCTAGAGAAGGGGAACAACCCCTTCTCCAGGGTTTATTTTCGTCATTCTTGTCCAGCTTGCTTGCACCTTTGCATTTAATTGCATTATAATTGTACCATAATCATCTCATGTTGTTGATTCATTCTGCTCGAAACATAGCTCTGCTCTGTTTTCATTTGCCTTGTCTTTGGTTTAATTATTGCTTTCCAGCTTTTTGCCCTACGGCAATTCCTCTACTATTCTCGCCTACAGAAAATATCAGCATTAAAGCACAAGTATTTCCTGAGATTGCTGCACAAGTATTTCCTGAGATTGCTGCTATTAAAATACTGAAAAAGCCGAACATAAAGAATATTTTCTTTTTTTGGGGGGGGGGGGGGAGGGGGGGGGGGGGACATGCTAAGTTTAAAAAAACGCTAGAACATTGGTGGGATCACAACAGGTAAAGTAGTCTTACAAACAACTACAAATTGAAATTTTTAAGATGTCGCCGGCGAAACTGTGAGTTTACAAAAAGCAGAGAGCACAAGGTTCCTTCTCTATAAAATCTGTTAATCCACTTCCTTCTGTTTTACGTTGGCCCTCGACTCTTCAGGGGTGGGCTATCTGAAGAGTTTGAGGCCCCTGTACTAAATTATAATCACATAGTAGTGCGTTATGAAAAATGTAAAGATCTGCGCATACCATCGATTACTCGTAGCACTTTTATTTTGACGCAAAGAGACGCCAGAGCGCTATCGAAGGTCTGAAGCTCGCGCTCGAGGACGGACAACTGAATGAAAACCGGACAGCTGAAACTCATCCTAGCAATCCAGATCCTGCCGGCAATCATAGCACAGCCTCGATCACACACCGGAAGGAGACATAAGGCCTCACAAGACAAATACTTTACGGTGGAGACCTTCCCGCAAACCTCTCGGGCACCCACCTTCCTGGCGGAAGCTGTCAAGGTCCAGCGGCGGAATGGCGTCCTTGCTGAAGGTGCCCGGAGTGCTGGGGGTGTGTGGGACAGAGACCTCCTCACCCTCTTCGCTGGCCCTTCCCTTCTCTGCACGCGGCGAGGGGCTCTTCCCTCCCAGGGACTGGAAGCCAGACGACAGGGGCCTGTCCACAGACTTGCCCGTGCCGGACTTGCGCGAACCGGGCTGGTACTGGACGTCCTTGAAGTGGTGCTGCGAGCGAGTGCCGCGATGGACCGAGAGCATGAGACGTTCGTCCAACGTTCACGCTCTGCTGCGACTCGCATTTCTGCTCTGCTCGTTCCTTTACTCCGTGGGCTCTCAAACTGGGTTCCCAGAAGAACATTCCCCATACAAACCCCGGGAGTTCCCCTGGCCTCAAAATACCCTCGACCGTCCTCCCCACCGCAGAGTAGTGTGTTTTCCTAGTTTAAGCACCATATCAGTCAACCCGAGTTACCCATCGGTGCATGTATATACCAAACACTCCTTCAATCCCCAGTGTGCGCATTATTGTTTACAAGGACTTTACTGCTTTACCACAACAATGCAGATAGAAAAGTTTGAGAACTGCTTCTTTACTTGATAGGCTCAGAAATTTCACTCACTCCCACAAGTAGAAATTATTTGGTTGCGTATGATTCCAAGTTTTAAGCAATTGTTCCGAACAAAAAGTAGGACCATATTTGAATTTTTGTGCCAGTTTTCTACAGATGTGAAATAAACTGCCACACCACAATCACTTCCGGTCTTGTCTGCCGACCCTGAAAATCGTTGTTGGCCGTTATATTTTCCAGGATTCTGAGCCTTTCTTTTATCGTGGTCCCCTAAAAAAATATGTCGGTCGGGTTCTACCACATGGAGTCGGGCGGGAAATCGGAAGATAAAGGCAAGGCAACGCGTGCGTACCGGCGTGAGCCTCTCTGCGCTGCGACAGGCTTCGTGCCAGTCCTGTGAGGCCGACTCCTGGCTGGACGTAGAGGGCGTCTCGAGCTCCCTACGCTTGGGTTGGGGCGGATGGGGGCTCAGGTCCCGGTTCGCCTCCTCGGAGGACGCCGCTCCGCCGCAGGGACTCCCCGTTGACTTCTGCACGGTCCGAACCCCATGGCATGAGCAGGAGAAACACAGAGGACACACCACAGGCACCACCAACGTATACAGTGGAACCACGATTATGAGTCCCCGGTATATGCAACATCCTGCATTTTACGACGAATTTGCCCGGTCCTGATGAAGTCCTGATAAAAATAATGTATTAAAAGTTCAGCTTAAATTATGCGTGATTCTACGCGTTCCGTGTCATACAACGTTCCGGCGGGAAACGCGCGACGGCTGCATGAGGAGGGGGGCATGGTGCGGCAATGCAGTAAGAGGCCTGCGTGCCATTTCAGAGGATCCAAAAACATGCCGCCGGCAACCCAAGACAGCCACAGCTTCGGGAGAGAGCAGGAAATGGCGCTTTCCCTTCTCCTCCCCGAGTTGTGAAATGCCTCGGCGTTTTCGTGTTGCGTCCTTGCTCCGCTTATCCCATCATTCTCCCGTCTCTTGTTTACCCTTGCACTCCTCTGCGCACCACTTTCTCCAACTCATTGCTTCTCCCAGGATTGAGCATGCTTCCGCCGATTCCCGCCATTCCCGTTTTCAGGGAGTCACTCGCGCCTTTACCGCCCGATTCTGCGGTTTCGTTTCAATTTGTTCCGACAGTTTTTGCTTTGTTGAAGTACAGCAAATTACTAGCTTAGACATCATTTAAAAGCTCCGCTTGTCTTTTTCGCGCGAGGCCGATCACTGTATCCGTAATGAAAGTTTTTTTTAGATAATACGACTCACACCTTACGCAATGATTTCGTGCAATCCCGCAAAAGTTGTATAATCGGGGTTCCACTGTACTGACACCTACGTAACGAGGCCATATTTCCGGATTTTTAAAGTCCCCTACTAAGAAAATTTAGCGCTACAGCATTCTAATCTAAGTGGTGTTGGCAGAACCCCACCAGCAGTAGTGAGAAGAGCGGGAAGAAAAAAGGTTACGACAGGCAGGCAAATGTTTCCACACGTTGGTCCTTAATCGTATGGCCGCCCCGATGTGTGAAGCAAGGTAAATGCTTGGAGCAGGTTGTTTCTGTGGCAGTGATGTCTGGCTAGAAGCGTACTGAAGGGGTCGGAAAACTTGCGATCTCAAACAAAGATGAACGTAAAAGAGGGGACATGAACAGGTGCTAGGCCTTCCCGAGGATTCCTCTCCGTTTTATTTTCTTCTTTCCCTGGCAGCATGCTGAGCATGCTCCGTCGGATGTTATATTACACCGGCGTCTAGCCACGAATAAACAAGTTGGAAATGGCACTTGATTGTGTCCCCTTTTTCGCGTCCGCTGGTGTTTGCACTTAACCAAAGCGTCATGCACCAACTAACCCAGCAATGAGTGTCGTTAACCAAAACAAAAAGTATAAAAAAATAAAGAGAGCGAAAGGAAGGAAGCAAGACTGAGGCTCACGGGGGTGTGCCCTTGGGCAGAGTCCAGGATGGCCACCTCCTCGTGGCTGCTGCAGCGGCGAGAGGCCAGCTGGGGCTCCATGAGGGACCCCCCAGCGGGGGGCCGCTCCTCCGAGCTTGATCGGGGTGCCGGGGGCCACTCCTCTCCGGAGAGCTTGCGCTCCTTGCGCTTGCAACTGCGCCCACTGGTCACTCCGGCCGAGCTCCCTGGGCAAAAGACAAACAGCCGTTGGGCAAATAACAATCAAAGCCAGTTCGACCTTGTGGCTGTTTGGGTGTTTTTCTTATAGAAAGGTGGCCAAGCAAGACACCTTGGCATGTAGTGAAATACATATTCATTTACCAATAGGCTAATGCCAAGCAACTCAAAACTGCAGCTCGTGGAAGATTGCTTCAAACCTGCTTGGAACAAAACTCACTCCTCACAACATGTGATATGACTCGAGAAACCCCTATAAAGCACGAAAACAAGGCAGCATCTCCAACTTAACAGCATCCACCAAAAGGAAGCAATGCGCACCACATCTCTGACGGCAGTCACGTTTTGCAGCAGTCAGTAGCTTCTAAAAGAAATCGAGCTTTGTAGCATAAAGTGTTCCTCTTGAAACACCAAACACGTTACTCTACTTTATCCCTGAACAACGAAGGATCACCAAAGAAGAAGGCAGTAAGACTGGTGCACTCACCTTCTTTTACTTCCCTATGCCTGTAGAAGATTGCTTGTTTGCAGGTGCCATCAATCAAGCTGGAAAAGAAACAAAATGCACAGCATGAAGTTGTGCCAAGATTGCATTTCTCGTCAAATACGAGCCATAACGAGACACGCAGATCTACAAGAACGGCAACACAAAAACGTGGGCCAGTGGTATACAGGCCTGTACTTTCCAAGTGTAGCGAGGCAGACTAGGAGGTTTGGCCTACCTGTCAATCATCAGTGTGGGCACCTCGCTAAGTGGCTCCTGCTTCAGGGCCAGCATTGCTTCATCCAACGGAGGAATGACTACAGAGAGGGGCTGCATAGGCACTGCACAGATCCCAGCAATCTGGAAGGAAAAGCGCAAAGGATCACTATCACACATTCTGAACGATCACCAGATTCACGACCAAGCAGCAATAATTATAATTACAGTCCCTTAATCTTTTGTAACTAACATACAGAACCAATAAAAAGCTTTCTGTTACCGTCGGTGTAAAGAAGGTTCAATAACAAGCTAGTCTTTTCAACTTGTTAATGCGAAAGCAATAACTGTCCTATGGATCGAGCCGACGTCATCGGCTTTGAAACCGCACCAAATGGCACCTTAAATCCTTTCCTCAAATAAAGCCAGCTTTCAGCTATGAAACCATGCGAAAAACCTAGCCAGACGGCACCTAGTTTCCCCGATCCCAAACAAGCGGAGTAAAGCTCATGGATTTCGGCTTCAATCCCATTGGCTGGTGCGCGTCATAGCTTCAAGAAACGAGGCTCCCATTGGTTGCTGCGCATGAGTTTCAACGACCGCCACCCTATGGTGCAGCGTGTCCGCGAGGCAGCGGCTCCACGGCTCAACGCCCAAGGTCAGCGTGCCGAGGACAGCACACGCGCTTGACTGTCGACGCAAGTACGCCACAGACGAAAGAAGAGAACGAAAGAGAAGCGTGCATGCTTTTGCATTCACAACTCATAAGAAGCGCTTAGGTGTACCTCAAGCCTTTTTTCCTAAGCGTGAAACATTTTTTTTTGTAGGCGTTCTTAAAGCCAGTAAATGCCTTTAGTCAAATGCTATTACTAGTTCTGCACCTGCTCCCATAGTTCCAGGTTTGGAGAGGATGACACCAGTTTTTGAAGAGGTACCCACTGTTCCCACTGTTTTGCGTACTATGGTAGACCCTTGTTAATTCGGAGTTGGTCAGGCAGAGGAAAATATGCGAATTAGAAGGATCTGAGAACTACCCGAAAAAGAAAGAAAATGACAAAAATTGTGGGGCAAAGAACCAAATCTCTAGGGAAAAATTTCATTCAAACGAGTAGTCGAAAGCGAGAGACGATCAACCAAAGTAGTTGTTGATGTGTGGTTGCTGCAATCGGTAATTAGTGGTGCCAAACGTCATATTCTTGAAAAGGTTAACTAGCCGCAACATCTCAGAATCCCCGTCGTTGCATTCCACAAAGCTGCGCACGACATCCAGCGACTGTATCACTTCCTTCACAGCAGGGGCCCGAGGCGGCTCATCGCAGTATAGCAGGATTGCTCGTAGCGACCGACTTATTGTCGCTGTCCTTGATGCGGGAGCGAAGCCCCTCTCCCTCATTGTCAATTCTAGGGACAATGCCTGCACTAACACCACCACCGGCAGCACCAACCAGCTCCTCGAACGGTCGTTCCTTCAAAAACCCAGCACGTTCGAAGCACCGTTTGACAACGTCTGCCTTCACTTGTTCCCAAGCGTACGCGGTCAAGCATATGGACCAGAGAAGGTCGATGAAATGGCTTTTGCCATTGTCGTAGCGAAGCAATGTTCGCTTTGGAAGGTGGCGACGATAGATCTTCCCTGTGCACGAAATAACGCCCCAGTCCATTGGCTGCGAGATGGAGGTCATGATCGGTGGAAGGAAGGCCATCTTGATCACTTGGAGGTTCTGGGTGTCACCGTGACCCGGACAGTTATAAACAATGAAAACAACTTTTCGCCATGCTGCCGCAAAATTGTGATTCTGGAGTCGCATGCACTCTTGCACGCATGACCCGCGTCTTCTTGTTGTGTTGGCACATGAGTTTATTGGATGTTGGAAGCCGAGCATTTCTGAAGTACCGTGGTTTCTCCACTTTTTCTAAGACAAGGAGAATCAACTCGCGTTCGCCCGTCGTGTTTGCACCGAACGAGACTGTGATTCTGCATTTTGGCTGCTTCCGTCTTTTGATGCTGGTGTCCTTCATTGCGAGTGTTTCCGTCGGAAGCATCTCGTAAAACAGAGCCGCTTCGTCCAGGTTGCAGACATCATCTGCACTGAACGTGCACTAAGAAGCGGAACCAAGGTGCGCTTTATCCAATGTTTAACGACCGTCTTGTCAGTGCTGCCGCTCTCGCCACACACTGTCAGGAGCGTCAAGTTATTCCGTTCCTCGAAGCGGGAGAAGCATCCGTTGTTGCACTCGATTTCTTCGCGACTGAGTTGGAATGCTGAATCGTTGGCCTTCTCTCGCGAGCTTGTGTCGTCAACAAAAAGGTAGGCTACGGTGGTATTCTGAAACCAGGTAATCGGGGTGGCTTCGAAGTCCGGGTATGTCGGGGCCCGAATCCACGAATGCGTCAATGAGTGTGCCTTGCTGTATGTCTCGAGGATCTTGGCCTTGCTCTAATGGTGCAGAGCGTGGAGGGAGGCACCTGGTGCTTCTCTGCGAGCTTGTTTTAGTATATGTCGACTTTGCTTCCTCAATGAGGCAAACTTTTTGTTGTAATGTTAAAGATTTATATTTCGGCATCTTCCGTCTGCGCCACTACGAAAGGCTCGAGATCGAGAGCCACACGCGAGCCAGCCCTAGCTCAAGGAAACAAAGGCCGTGTTTCAAAATTTACTCAATCTTACTCCGGGGTAAGGGTTTTGTACCTTGGCATTAGGAAACTTTCCCACATCCAGCATTGCTCTACCTGTGCTGTCACATGACAATACCTGGCATAGTAACTTTTGGAACATGTATCCAAAGGATATTGCTAAGCGCGTTAACCGGCAAACCAAAACAGACACTATAGAACAGTGGTTCTCAACCATTGGCGCTTCGCAGACCCCTTGTGGATCGGCGGAGAGGATGGAGGACCCCGTTCGTAGTGAGGGGAAGGGAAAGGTATAGGTTAATTATAGTGATTATTTGATAAATGGATATAACAAAGGCCTGTGTGAAGTAGACTCCTCTCATTGACATACACACAAGGAAACTGACCTGAAAAATGGAATGTTTATTCTCATAATGAAAAAAAAAAAAAAAAAAAGACGACTTTTATTGTTGAGTTTGATGAATAAGCAGGGCATCGCGGAGTCCTGGGGCCCTAATCTGGACACTTGGCGAGAAAGACTGCGAGAAATCTGACGGCTATGATTGGCCGGCGCCAAGGTCAAGTGCGGCGTCGGCCAATCACAGCCGCCAGATTTCTTGCCGACTTTTTCGCCAAGTGTCCAGATTAGGGCCCCTGGAATGCCTTTGTGGACCCCCATTTGAGAACCACTGCTATAGAACAAGGAAGACTCGCGCCATGTTGGTTTTTTCTGCCGAATCTGTGTGCCGACTAACTAAAAAGTGAACTTGGAAGACTAAACCAGAGAGTTAACCGGGTTGGCATGCATGGATCGCTCGTATTATCCGGTCATATGTTCATGAGAAATTACGGGACCATAAAAAATTTGCCAATTATCCTGAATTCCAAACAAACCGAGATCAAATTATCAAGATCCTACTGTATTACTAAAAAGTTTTAAGAGAGTACTTATGGATTTTTAGAGTAACCATACTCTTACTACCGCAGTTTCCTTTTAGCTGTTTGTTCCGAGCTGTGACAAGTACAGTAAAACCTCGTTATAACAAAGTTGAAGGAGCGATCGTAATTATTTCGTTATAACCATTAGTTTGTTATAGCCAATGTCCATTTCTTCCCTATTAGCAAGCAAGGGGAATTATGATTGCTTTGTTATATCCATTAGTTTGTTATATCCCATTTTGTTATAACAAAGTTTCACTGTAACAGAAATACAGGCTCACCACTCTTCCGTTGGCCTTGCTGCTGCTGCTGCTCCCTTCCACATTCATGGAGCTGTCTGCGGTGCAGGAGAGTTCTGCGTCTCCTTCGAAGATGGAATGGTAGTCGGCGATGAAACACGTGACCACCTGGTTAGTCACTGCCTGTTCTTTCAGGCCTTGCAGATCTTCGGCAAACCTGAAGAAGCAACAACGAGCCACGCTCAGCACCGTCCCATGTGCACTCTGTCCTGAAGTCTCGTACAAGGATTTCCGAGCCGTTAGCGTCAGTGTCTAATCAATGTCTCCTCCACGAGAATAGCATCCCACATCTCTATAAACAAAAAAGACGAAATACGCTTTGAAGACGCCACATATGTGCGCAAAACAGCTGAAACTATGGTTTAATGCAGCAAGCATGTGTAAAACAGCTAGAAAAAAAAAGGGTGTGTGCAATATGGGCCCCAATCTGAGCAATGTTTTCCCCAAACTTCTAGTACCATATCACATTTCTATGAGATAAAAATACCCCCCATTGCTTCATTTTTGTACCAGTGACATTAAAAATGGAAGGCACCCAACCGCCACCTTTCTGTATATTTCTCTCAACGACCTTACCGGCTGCGATCCCACGAGCAGTTCTTCCGCATTTCATGCATTTTCCTCGCCCACGCCTTAAATTCTAAATACTCCGTTTCACCCTACAAGCCATCCAAGCCAATCCAGAGCAGTAAACTTGTCATGTATACGCCATGGCGGCTACGGCACACCTCTTGAGGGGTTATGCGACACTAGCGCAACACTGAATTGTCTTCGACAGCTTGTAGCGTCCTCTGCAGCCCATCATAATGTGAAACGGATTATACAATCTCCCATCACAACAGAACTTGATAGGGCCATTCAAACCTTATCCCTACGCAAGTGTCCAGTACTATTTTTTTTTAGGATGTGGATTCTGCCAATTCAGGAAAGGTTAAGGGCACATAAATAGAAGGAGGCACGGCACTCATGGTTTAACCCTCCAACGGTCGTTGCCATACATGTACGGCGGCGATTACATATTTTGAAGCGCTTCTTTAAACTGGAAGAGACGTGCACCGTAGGAGGTGTTGCTATTTGTTACGTCTTTGGCGAAAACGTTATATTTGCACGGTCTTTCGCTTTGCTGGGGCTATTTTTAGTCTCAAAATAAGACGCTCCGCAATACGCGGTGCAAGATGGTTGCTTCGCACGTCGGCCGTTACGGCGATAGTGGCAATTGGAGTGTCGGCTCTTCCGTATCATACTTTTATGTTTCTCAGAATTAAATTTGGAAGGTGAAAGCTCGCCATTCAACAGAGAAGCTTCGTAATGTACCTCCGGTTGGGAACCAGACACCGCCTGAATGTCGCGGAAGCAGACGCGCCAAAATGAAGTCATATAGAAGGAAGACTACCTTTTCGCCTTCAGCATTTCCATTCAATGCCTCTAAACCTGAACAGCTTGCAAGCACTGTGCGTGTTCCCGCTAGATAAATAAGAAAGAAACCCAAGCATTGGCCCATTCTTTACACTATTTCTCTGGAAACAAAACAAAACCACTGGAAAACCTTTCAGGGAAAAATAAATCGACCGTCGAAGGGCTAAAGGGAAAATGAGGTGGCCCACCTGAAGAGGTTGGGCCCGAAGACGATGCCCAGGGCACTGGGGGTCATGCGCGTCAGCTTCTCCGACTGGGCCACCCGGTTGAGGAAGTGGCACAGGTACTTGAGCACCCCGAAGTTGCCGGGGGGCAGCTGCTCCACCAGGCACTTAAGGCGCCGAGTGCATTCCTCCCGGTCGTGCACAGAGGCTATGGAGCACAACGAAACCCATTCGCCCTCTGTGCCAGAGATGTGAACGGGCAAGGGCTTTGCAACGGGGACACGAGCAGCAACAAAAACCCTCAAACGAGAGGAAATAACTAGTAAGCGCAGCAAAATATACGTGAGACAAGCCAACGAAAAAAAATAATTCCACAGAAAAGGGATGGGGACAAGGCAAGCATGTAACGCACCAAGGAGAAGACTGCCATGGGACAGAAATAATGGTTCGACGAGAAAAGCTTCCACCATTAATATGTGCAGCCACCAACAGTAAGACAGCATGGCACAAAAAATGCAAGCCATTGGCGAGTCCTCGAGTAATTACTACTGCAAGGTGATCATTAGGGACTCCACTTCAGGTGCCGTACAGCAGCAGCTATGTAACCCATCCACGGCGATGGCACTGCATGCCACCCTGGGGCAGACTAAAACTGAACTCCGTGAAGCAAAAAAAAAAAAAAGCGACAAACTTCACCCGGTGTTCACTACGTGCGTGGCGTCCGAACAGTGGCCCTTGCATGGCGCGAAAAACGAACGTATGTCAATTCTTCGTCGCACATTTGCTCCACGGAAGCTTTTACTTTCTGTTGCCTAAACGTCCGTTCAATGAAGTTGACTCTAATTTTAAAAGGCGGACATCAGTGTGCCACAGGCACGAAGACATACAAACAATGCTCAACCCGAATTCCTACGCGAACAACGCGCAAAAGGGGGGGTCTCGTCAGAAGCGAGGAAGGGGAACCCACCTTGTATGGCGTCCAGGAAGGCCGGGTGCATGCCCGAGGGCATGAGGGGCTCCGGCAGCTCCCTGAAGAGCAGCTTGAGAAGGGCCGCCACAGCCGCCACGTCCCCTTCCGTCTCCAGGGGCGCGTCACCCGTGTGGTCGAAGCTCCACTTGAGCTTCTCCACCAGCCGGGCGTTGCCACTCACCCGGAACAGACCTTCCTGGGCCATGCCTGGGGAAGGGAGGAGACCACTTTGTCGGCAATCACGGTTTGTTTCCCCAATTTGTTTAAACCGAGGCTTTTCAAAGTTCTGGACGTTGAGGAACCCATTTACAAAAACTGAGAGCCGAGGCCCTCCCCTTCCATCTCGGCATCCATGGAATCAAGCGGCACAGAAGCCTACAAACCTCATAAACACTAGTGCGTATACTAGGGAGTGTTTGGCTCGTAGTTAGGCGTCAAAGGGTAGCTTAGATCTGCCAAAAAAAGTGACTAGGGAAACACCTTACTTGGGAGCAGGGGTGGTCGAGGAGATCTAGGGAGTTTGAGAAGCCTTGGGGGTATTAAGAACAAATACCTCCGACTTGCATAACAATATCAACATTTATCAGACGTTTCGTCTCCTATACGGGAGACATCATCAGTGCGGCCTGGGAACACCCGACTAGCTACCAGAAATCCAACGCTTCTTCTTCCTTCTCTTCATCCGTGGCGCTGGTTCTACCGACTTCTTCGTCCAACGACGAAAAAAAAGCGTTGGATTTCTGGTAGCTAGTCGGGTGTTCCCAGGCCGCACTGATGATGTCTCCCGTATAGGAGACGAAACGTCTGATAAATGTTGATATTGTTATGCAAGTCGGAGGTATTTGTTCTTAATCATGAATCCCGGCTTTTGGAACATTTTTGCATATACTTGGGGGTATTCTGGGGAATGCCTGTGTTCCTGACAGCCCAGTTTGGTAACCCACATTTTAAACGAACAAATACCGTATAATCGCGTGTAAGGGCCGCACCCGTGTAAGGGCCGCACCTTCGTATTCAGAACAAAATATTGTAAAAAAAAAAAAATTGAAGAAATTATTGGTGTATGCGCCACACCCCCTTGTTTTTGAGGCGCGCCGACTGTAATGCATGAAAGTTTCTATGAATATATATCGCTAGGTGGCGCTGGCCACCGCCCGAGCACGTGGCAGCACGTCTCCGCATCCCCGATATTTGCTCTCCACTCATCCGTATCACCGTATGACTTCGATCGTGGTGGGCCGCACTGTCGGGATGCGTTTATGTTGCGGCCGGAAGACATTGAGAAAAGATAAAGGATATGTCAGGCTTCTGTGGCAAGCGCGAGGAATGGGGATTCAGCGGGCTCGGCTCGCGCGTGCACTCAGGTTTCTGAACGCCACTGTACACTCTGGGGAGGTTTTCTTTTGTTCTTCCATTTTTGTCAAAGCAATCAGAGCTATGGGCAAGTACCACTTCAACAGTCATACGGGATTCAAGTCGAAAGTTGCTGCGCATGCTATCAAGTACAAAACAAAAAAAAAAGATGCGTATTGCACAGTATGTAAACTAATTAAATCCGACTGACGATTCAGTCCGGATTCCGGAGTAAGGCATTTTCAACCAGTGCAGCCGAGTGCGCTCGTGTACATTCATTTCAAAATGTGGATGCAGATTTTTTTTTTTTTATCCGTGTATGGGCCGCACCTTGAAAATTTGCCTCCAAATCAGGGAAAAATAGTGGGGCCCTTCACGAGCTTATACGGTAAACAAGCCGGCTGTTGCACATTGATTGGCAATAATAATGTCTGTGGCAGCACTGGCTCGGAACACCACTCGGTGTCGCTAACGTAGCTTGGAAAGTCTCGCCGATTATGGAGCTTTGTAAAGCCTCGCGGGTCCCCACAAATTGAAGTGGACCTTCTAAAGTTCTGCTCCAGTACCCCTTTAGTTTTAGCTTTAGTACTCCCTTAGTGTTCCACGAAAGAATTTCTTCGAGCTAAAATAGCATCAGAAGCAGAGGCATATTAAATTGCAAAGTAATGCTTTTTTGTTTTCTTTAAGGCAATTTGTTGTGCCAGTAACAGCACAGGCACTAACTGATGACTTTGATGACATCAGAATAGAAAGCCATGCAGGTGTTATGTGGCTTGAGCTTAAACAAACTGTTCCTCAAAGAAAGGCAAGCAATCTGCTACAAACTCCTCAAAGGAAGGCAAATAATCTGCCACATTAGCAGTTCAATAGAAGAATTAGGAAAGATGGCACCAAGCATCCTCTTACTGCAACACTCGTGTTGTATTTATCAACAAAGTGATAAGAATCAGACTAGAATATCTGTAAGTTACTGCAAAATAAGCAATATACTGATAGCAACTTGTGAAAGCACATACCAAAAAAAAAAAAAAAAAGAAATGCAGCCCTCAAGAGGTCTATACTGAATCCAAAATCTGGACCAAACTACTGAAGCAAGAGACATGACGTAAGACCCCCTTACGTGCCACCTAGAGCCACTAAATAAGCTGCGCTTAGAGTATCGGCACTCTGTTCCCCGACATTGTTGTGGGCGCCGCCATTTTGGCTCGTATGCAGAACAGACGCAACGGCCGATCGTCATGATTCAAAAGTGCGACTTTCTCAGCATTAGATTCGGTGTTAGGAAGGTCATGTAATATTGCTTTGCTCTGTCGCGAACGGTTTAAACATTTGTGGAGGGCGGAAAAGCATTTCCTGTGATGTCAGATAAAGCTTCAGATAACTGGCAACCATGATTTTAAGCCACAGTATGGCCAAGTGTCGTTACTCTGAAGCGTAGCTTATTTAGTGACACTAGTGCCACCTATTTTTAAATTCCTTTTCACAAAAACAACAATGCCAATACTTAAGCGGGCCGGAGTGGCTCAGCGGAGCGCCCAGGAGAAACCCACCTCTCTTCTCCAGGTACTGGCAGAGGCGGACGACCACGAAGGGCACTGCGGCCTGCTGCACCAGGGAGTCCAGGGGCACCCCAAATGTACGCAGAGCCAGGCTACCGGACTTGCGGCGGGCCAGAGGAGAGCTCAGCAGCTTGCGCACGCGCTCCATGCGGCTCTCGCCGCACACTTCCAGGTTCTGACGGGGGCAGAGAGGACCACTCTGTTGGTCCCACAAGCTCCAACATTCATGGAATCACACGCAGCCAGAGTATATGCTTGTTCCATCACTTTGTTATCTAGCGAAGGCTGTAAAAGCGTTAATAGATCATTTAGTTTTTATGATGATCATTCACGAATCCACTCGGGCAGCAATGGAGAACATTCGCATAGTCACACATAGCTGGAGCATATGCTTATTCCATCACAGTTTTTGTTATCTGGTGAAGGCCGTAAAAGCATTCATAACCCCTCTAACTTTTATGGCGATCATTCGTGAACGCACACAGGCAGCAAGGGGAAACATTCGCATGATTACACATAGCCGGAGCATATGCTTGTCCAGTCACTGCATGGTTATCAAGTGAAGGCTGCAATAGAGTTCATAGACCATTTATCTTTTTATGACAACCTTTCAGAGTCCAGTAAGTCTCGACATACACCGTGCGACACCGCTAGAGTGAACGAGCAATTGCCGCTTTTTTTCCCTTTTTCTTTTAAAATCAGAAGAACCTCATCAAAACTATAGGGGTGTGGTGAGAGCATTCATTCGGGGCTTTCACTAAGTAAAAGTAAGGAGTAAAAATTAGCCAGCTATGTCCCGCAGCGTGCACGCACATGAATCCTCCTGGCGTACTGCTCTCACCTGGCTGGCTGAGGTCATTTCAGCGACAGCAATGTCTGTGCAAAAGGTGGGCTTCCGCATCCTTAAGCTGCGACGTACTGCTCACAGGCCAGCGCAGCACTCCCAGTGCGCCTACCTCTGCTGCAATGGTACAAGAGGAGCAAAGAGAAGAAGCAGTGAGAGATGCCGTATGTGTGTGTGTGTGCCCCCCAAAACAATACGTGCCAACACCCAATCTTAGTTGTGGCATTCTGCAAAACAAGAATTAGTGGGAGAGTGAAACGACGCAGGAAAGGTGGGAAGTAGGGCTGCATACAAACGCAAAGCCGCAGCCATAATCTGTCCAAGCCTCTCAACTCTCAGACATGTGAAGTCTGCCACCGATGCTTCGACAAAACCTTACACTAACGGACTGCCGCTAAACTGCTATAGCTGCCATGTAATACAGTCTTCGGTAATTCAATATACGAAATGTTAATATCAAATGGAGTCATTCTTCTCGCAATCAATTTCTTTAAGGGTCCACTCGACCAGCGAGTTAAGAAGAAGCCAATACCTCCCGAGGTAAAAATATCAAAACCAAAAGTACAAAGGGAGAAAATGTCATCATGGACAAAAAGTGTACTTTATATAAAAGGCCTAACAACTGTGTGAGGTAATATTACGGAGAGAGTCAGGTTGCAGATCCATTCAAGATACTGTATCTCTTAATAGATCTCTCACAGAATTACATTTGCTTTGCTAATAAAAATTGAACTTGATTTTGATTCGCAAACATGACATGAAAGCTTTTTTTCTAGCTTGAATTAGTGCTTACTTCTGCATTTCTGTATTCTAGTTCAAAAAGCGATAGCCCTTGAAGGTCCTAAAGAAAGGTCAGATTAATGAAGGAGAATTTGGTAGGTTCTTCATTAGTAGCCGGAGTGAATAGCACTACTTTTGCAAGGTATTATGCACACACAAAGAGGATAAGCACATATAGAGCATATTTACCAGATTAAAATTAAAAAGCAAAGAGACAATATTTTCCATAAAAGACATATAGCCGTTTAACATCTAGGCACCTCATTCACCATTAAATTGTTTGTCAACAATTATTCTCGTACATTTTCACTGTCTCTATTTTGTACTTACTTACACTTTATCGTTATCTGATAATGCAGAAGAAATATGACAGCACCCAGAATTTCTGAATGCCAGTCAGAGGCAGCAAGCTGACAAGTAAGACAAATAATAAATTAATAATAATGAACAAGACAGATTTTGTTTTTGGTTCATAGCATAATCAAAGCACCACTTTGTCCATCTATTACCCGTTATTACATTTGGTTTTAGAAATATTCAAAATATTTTCATAAAAAAGGGCAGTTTAGCTTACCAGTGCCATAAACGTGAACTGCCTACAACTTGAATATACTGGAGCGATCTCCTGCGATGCTATCTATCAAACTTAATTTAAATATGATATGCCGAGTGGACGAATGCATTGCAGAAAATCGTACCCCAAACAAACAAGGTCATATTCATCCCCTCCACTGCCTCAATTGTTTTGTTGCCAAGACTCTTTGGCTGGCGGATGCCCAAGAATCATTTGTCACTAAGCAACAGGTCAGAAACAAAAGCACAAAAAACCAGGAATGCACGAAACAAAAATGGCGTGCAAAAAGTGGCATCCAAAGTGTTACCAAAACAGAGTGACTTCTGTTAACCCCTTCCTCATCTATGCAGTGCGTAGTGATGCAGTGACGCAACAACCCCGCAAAGCCTTAAAGATGAAATCAGTCACTTTCATGTTGATTGCACTTCTTACGCTCTTCAGTTTCTGGCATTTCATACAAATTACATCTTGCTCCACGAGTTCCTCGTCGCTGCAGCACAACACCACCATGGGCTTTGCCCAGCTTGTGATCAGTTCCAAATTTTAGATTTCACGTTTTCATGAGTGCACGACTTCTTGATGCATGCTTTCAGTGATATTACAGATCCTCTTCACATCGAAATCCGAAGCCTGCCCTGTACTTCCACACCAGCTTGACCATACAGGACATCCAAACGGGCAGGAATGCTGCTTTTGTGAACGTCCCGAGTTGTCATCTCACTTGGGAGTTCCTACAAAGGGGGTTTCTTTCCTTTTCAGACCATGAGCACAAATAGTGAAAGAAAAATTTCGCCAGCCTTGCTCCAGAAGATTCTGCGAGTCCTCCTCTAAACTCACTCGGAGCTTCCTGTGAACAGTCTGCAGGAATAGGCATTGAAACTGTCTCCATCGACACACGCTTGTGCAAAGTGAATTTAAAGACCGCGCTACAAAGCACATAAAAATATATACTTTCCATTCCAATTTTTCACACAAGAGCTCTCAATTAAATAGGTCATGAAATAATCTTACTTTTTTGATCACTGCACAGAATAAATCTTTGATATTCATGACCTAAAAAGTATGCATTCGTTTTTCATTGTACGCACTAGCAGCGCCTTTTAAAAGCTTAGGAAAAACAGGCAGATTTCACCTCCTCAACTTGCACCCAGAACAAGCGGCTGTGTAATCCACTGCTGATTATATGGTGCCAATGTTTGTGTAGCCAAACCATGGAGTTGGCAATGCACAGGGCATGTGCTGTGCTCTGGACATTTTTACCATCACAGCGATCAGACATAAGCTCCATCCTAAAATGTTTGCTAAGGCACTGATCATAATCGAACCAAAATGGAGTGCTCATGCAGTGCTCGCGACCAATCCTAACCACATTCAACTGCGGAATGTCACCCTGGGGTGATCCTTGCAACTTTGTGACCCCCACAACCGTGTCAGCTAACTCGGCAAAAGAGGGATTCAAAGAAATGGTTCACTTCCATCTTTAAAATTACACCGCAACAAACAGGTTTTGGCTAAGTGGCGTTGCGTGTGAGTATACTTGCATGCTATATGTGTCAGTATGCAAGAGTAAAGTGGGTAACATTCAAACACAATATTGTTTCATGGCCAATTTAAAGTACAGGAGCCATCAAACTAGAGCGAGACAAAGATGCTAATTAGAATCAATCAATCTACTGTACCCTTTGCACCAGAGCAAAACAGTCAAGTAAACAAGAGCAAAACTGCACAGAGGCAGGAGGGGTTGAGGGAGGGAGTAGAAGCCGTTCCGATACTCACAGACTTGCGTGATGGTGTTACAGAAACGAGGCGACGTAGACAGACCACAGGAACACAACACTCGGTGAGCACAATGGATGAATGAGTTACATGGCAACACTGAGCACGCCTGGCAAGTCCCCTCTTATGGCTGCTTGAGAAACCGGCAGGAGACCAACCGCAGTGACAGCATTCGTGTCACGGTGACCGCTGGGTTAGAGCCTAGTGGCGCCTAGGAGCCCACGCTGGTTGGCTGCAGAGGGGCCTTGTGCTGCCCCAACAGGTCTCAAGCAGACTGGGTGCCCTGCGTCGGAGAGAGGCACGTCCGTCATGTCCCATGCAACTTTTCTTTTCTTACACGCTCCACTTCACATTTAACCAGATTACAGGTTGCAAAAGAATGAGAAAGAATAGGCAAAATGAACTTTACCCAAACTGACTCAGATTTTATAATTCTTTGAAGGCTCGTATGATGGCTACAAGAGGCACAGTACATGTGAAAATTGTTCAACAACAATGTCGCGATGTTAGAATTGTTTAGCAGCCGCAGACTAAATAATTTGACCATTACCAAAACATTGTAGAACGATCATTTACTGAGCCAGGAATTCTTGTGAAATCATATAGAATGCATGCAACATTTCACCAAAAGAAGTATCCTTTTTATTATTGCTTCTTATGATGAGGAATCTGAACATCTGCAAATGTTTCTATTCCTGCTGGCCTGTATATGCACACATCAAAACATGTAGCTAGCGAAATGTCTATTTTTCCTGCATTCCAGTATCTTTCAACAAAACGCACTCTTTTTGTTTTCTGTATAAAATTGTTCAATCCACATGAATAAAATGCTTTTCCTGTAATACAGTAAGTGAGTGTGTCAATAAAGTGAGCTCTTTATTTGCTGCATTCTGTGTAGAATTGTTGAATTCAACATTTCATACAAAAGGATGACATGTTTTTTTTCCTACTATCTGGTACATGTATGTGTCAACAAAATGGTCTGTTTTTTTTCTTCTTCTTTTTGTTCTGTTTACTGTAACTAACTGCCAAATATCTGCGGGATTTTTTTTTTTCTTATACTATTTGTTGTTTTTTATGTAAGTTTTCATCGGGTTTATTTTCCCCTATGTAAAACATACTGTCAAGAGCTGTAAGGGGAGTGATGACTCCTCTAAGACTCAAGCTGCCCGCAGGTAGCGTTTGTTTTTCTAGGTCATCCGCCATCAAGTGATAGAAATAAGAGTGTTATTAGAGTTCAGTATGGGATATTCCGAGGAACAATGAAGCTAGCCCACAATAAAAGTTGGGAATGCGCAGTTGTGCGAGGTGCCGTACTGAAGGAAGGTTACCACACTTTCTCCACTACAAATTAAGCACAGCCTACAAATTTTTAAGCCGCGATCCAACAACGTTTATCGATTAGAAGTTTCGTTAAACCAAAAACGGCAACAGAGCACACCTCCAGAGTGACAATTTTAGAATCCCAAATGCTAGGGAGGCGCTGCAAAGTGACTTTTCCTTCTCATACCTTTGAGTTATTTGTTGCACGAATGTTTAATGCACCTGTAAACATAGACATCCGTCTGCCTTCAAATAGCTTGGTCATTCTCGAACTGATCGGACGCGTTTTTAGAAGTTGTTTAAAATCCCAAAGCTAAGCTAAGTTTTTTTGTTTTTTTGTTTTTTTTTACGTGATTATCTGGGCATGGGGATAGTAAACAGTTCTTTTTTGTAGTGTGCAGGAAATAGCAAACACAGTTCTTCTTTTTTTTTTTTTTTTTTTTTACGTCATCGTGTGACGGGGGTTTGTTTGAATATTTGGCGGGATAGTTGGCCGCATCAGTAGTTGTGTTTCCTCGGACGGTGTTGCGTGCCCTATAAAGCGATAGGGCGATAGGCAGGCCACTCGGTGGAGCATCTAACAGCTTTGTTGCTAGTTTTAAATAGCGTCAAGAATTTAGGTTAGTGCAGGCACCGGCGGCGGCCGGATAGGCCATTAGGGTCAGGTATTGTTTAGATTTTGGAGGGTGTTGTTTCGATTTTGAGGGGAGATGAATCACAAAGAACGGAAAGGTAAGGGAGAAGCAGAGTTAGTAGAGTGTGAAGAGCGTAAGCGATGGAGCAATTTAGAGGAGACCGACTTCGAGAGCTTAGCTGTTGCGGTGGAGGGTAGCTTCACTTGCCGTCTCTATGAGAATCTTGGGGTCGGTTTAATGAGGGTAGATGGAGAGTAAGCCACTAAGTTAGAGGAGCTTAAGGCGGATATCAGGGAGGAGAGGGAGAAGCCGGCTGTGCTTAAGACTCAAAATTAGTACAAAATGCAGCTTTGGGGTTAGTTGCGGTGGCCCGATTGATCGATGGCGAGCTTCGACCGCTTCGGTGGCTGGAACGACTAGGACATCCTCTCGACGTCAGCCTAGCCGCAGCTTTGCTCGTCCCGAGACAATCTACATCACAAATGCGGCGGATGCCACGTGCTGTCCGCTGGCAACTCTCCGAGCACTTGCCAGAGTACTTGCCAGAGTGGGCCGTTTATAACGAAAAATACAGCCATCAGGCTCATAATACAAACTTATGATAGTCATCTACGGATACTGTGGATCATATTCAACCTATTTCTGAAAACAACGGGTATATTTCAAATTTTGTTGAAGTGCCCATTTAAGGCGGCCATATCAGAGCGAGAAGAGGCCTCAAGGGAACACGGAAGAGCGAAGAAAAGGAAAAGGGGGGACACACCCGCGGAGGTAGCATCGAAATGGACGACATTTGAGGAAAGAAAAGAAGAGGCATCTGCTCGAGTCCAGGCCAAGATTGGTAGAGCTAGAGTGCAGTGGATGATGGAAGTAAATCGAAATGATAGGAATGCAGCAAAAAGGTTCTAGGAGCACATTAATGCACAGGAAAGAAAAACAGAAGGGTTCCAGTGTTCATCGACCACACAAGAAGGGATAAGTGTAGAGGGCGAGGAGGTAAGCGAATTTATTAGACAATCGAGGCAGTATTCGCAGAACTTGAACCGAACGAGATTGGGCAGAACACAAACCGCAACACGGCACAAGACGAGAACACTAACGAGACAACTGAGACAACCACGGGGGAATGGGACAAAGCAGAAAATAAAGCGGGAGGCGACAGGCCCAAATGGCAAGTAATGAGACAAGTCAAGAAACTAAGAACAAAAAGTGAATTAAAGTTAAAACAGGCAACAGATCAAATGATCATGGGGGAGAGGTACCCAATGACTGGAGACTGAGATTGCTATGAAGAATGAGATTGCTACATGAAGGCAAGGAAAATAAGGATTGCATATCATACTGCCCAATAATAGTAACTTTGGTTCTGTACAGACTAGCGATGCAGCTAGTAAAAAGAAGAATGAAAACATGGGCCGAAAACATTTTAGGTGATGCTGCAGAACGGGTTTTGAAAACATGGAAGACTAGATAATAACTTATTCATCATCACTCAATGTATAAAAGTGGCACACATGACAAAGAAACCGTTATTGATAGCATTTCTAGACATTAAAGGGGCGTACGACAATGTGAGTCAGGAAGAGCTCTGGGTACAGTGAGAGGGTATGATTTAGATGCATACCTGATTTGGCTTTCACAACTAGTATATGCAAATAATAAGTCTGTTATAACATGGGAAGCAGAAATAACAGAACCAAAATAAAAAGAGGGCTCGGGCAGGGTAATCCCTTCACCTCTGCCTTTTTACGGTATACCAGAGAAGGATGGAAAAGAAATTAGAAGAGTGCAATTTTAGCTTTTGATCTGTCATATATGGAGAGAGGGGGAAAAGTAAGCCAATAGTTATACCAGGAATGTTCTACGCACATGACATTTGTAGTGTTGGCAGATAGCCAGGATAGGTTACAGGAGCTGATTAAGATCTGTGAAGAGGAAGGAGACTCTCTGGGCCTGAAATCCAGTGCTAGAGATGAGTCGAGAATAATGGTTTATAATTAGGTTTCAAGACGTTTTATTAAAATACATAGAGAACTATGAATACCTAGAAGTATGACTGAATGAGGGAAAGCAATACTTTAGAAGAACAGGAAGAAAATATTCTAAAGAACGGAAAAAAAGGAATGCCGCAATTATGAAGCATAGGGTACTGTGAAGTTACGATAGATATGAAGTTGTCAGGGGAATATGGAAAGGAGTCATGGTGCCGGGGTTGTCTTTTGGCAATGCGGTATTATGCACGGAATCTGAGGTCCAGTTGAGGTTAGAGACCAGGCATAGGAGCGTGGGCAGTCTGGCACTGGGGGCGCATGGGAATACACCAAATGAAAGAGTGCAGGGAGACGTGGGCTGGGCATCTTTCGAGGCTGGAGAGGCATCAGCGAGTTGAAATTTGAACAAAGACTGGACACAATTGAGGAAACACGATGGGCGAGAAAAATATGTAAGCATCCATACATGAGAAGTCTAAACACTAAATGGACAAACCGAACCCGAAAACTGAAACTCAAATACCAACAGTCAAGTGCTGGGGCAGAGCAGACTAACTCTGTGAAAAAGGAAGTAAAAGAAGCCGAGAGAAAGATGTGGGAAGAAAGAATGCAAAGAAAATCAGCTTTAACTATGCATGGGGACAAAAACAGGAAATAAGGAACAAACATTGGTGTGATAATTCACGGTGGAGCTCGTTATTCTAGGCTAGAACGGAAGTATTGAAGATTATGACATATAAGATGAAGTATGAGAAAGTGGATACACGGTGTGCCCTATGCCAAGGGGAAGACGAGACGGGTTCATATCACATGAGCGAATGACGTTTTAGTGAACAGCGACGTTTGAGCGAATCAACGTTTTAGCGAATAACGGGGGCGCGCGTTAACCCATCCGCCGCGCTGCGCTTACGCCGCTTCGCGGCGACAGTTTGCGGCGGCTCATTACAAAAATGTGAACCCAGTTGGCCCACCCGAAAACGCCGCTTCGCGGCGTCCGACTATTCGCTAAAGTGTCATTCGGTGAAACGTGGGCGTTCGCTAAAACGTCATTCGATCAAGTGAGTGCCTCCCAAGGAAAGAAATCATACTTTTGGTTCTTAACTCTAATAGGCGGCTAGGTGGCGCAAGGTACCGCCCAATATAGACCTTTGCAAAAGTCTCCTTCTGCGCGCTGCTATCTTTGTCTACTAGACTCAAACGCTTTCTGAGCATGCGCGGTTCCTCTGCTGTACGGTACATCAGACGCTGCGCATGGGTCCACAGCCCAATCAGCATTTTCCGCCCGGGTGATAAGTGATGGAAAGGTCTATAAAGGCACAGCCGCTAGCATCCAT